ACAGAAACACTGTGTAAGACAAGACATCAGGCAGTATTTTCATGGAAACAACATTGTGCTTGGAAGTGGAGGTCAGGGTTCAAATCCCAGGCCATTACATCTCCTTCCTGGGCTCCCAAGCCACCTTAACTACTGCCGTCCAAAAAAATGCTAAGAGATCACTGACACTCAGAAAATTGGAGTAGAATGTTAAATTAGCCCAGTTGGTGTGGCTCAGTTGGTTGAGCATCATCCCAGGCACCAGCAGGTTGCCAGTTCGATTCCAGGTCAGGGCACATACCCAGGTTGCAGGCTCAATCCCCAGTAGAGGGCGTGCAGGAGGCAGCCGATGGATGTCGATGTTTCCATCTCTCTCTCTCCTTCTCCCTTCCTCTCTCTGAAAACAATAAAAACATATTTTTTAAAAAAGAATATAAAATTAAACACAGAAGGGGAAAATTAATGCCCTTCTTAGATAGATGGATCTTCCAAAAACAGCACTCGTAAGAACACCGTGTGGTCTATCACTGTGGCCTATCGTGCTGGGAGGGCTCTCAGAGTTTGCGAGTCTAGCTGTCCACCTGGAGCCGTGCACCTCCGGGGTCCATAGACACACAGCCATCAAACATGAGATGGATGTCTGTAGTCTTTGCCTTCCCAGGACCCACTACCCCCCACCCATGGTAACAATACCCTAATTTTCTTTTGGGGAACCACCCATATTTCACTCTCCACATGGTTCAGGCAGGGCCAATTCACCCCGTTACAATGACAGGCACGTGCCGATCCAGCATGCATCCCCTCCCCACAGGCTTGGCGTCAGGTCTGGCTGGACTCTCAACAGACCCAGGTGAGAGCTGTGTTCTTTATGTCGGGTTGAGCTGGTAAGATGCCAGCCCGCATGGCTGATGGACATGGTTGCAGTCACGTGGGGAGACCCTTCCTGGGAAAGCCAACAACTCAGAGAGCATTGCCAAGATTAGAAAGAGACGGCTCCTGACGGCGCCCCTCGGGCTCCTGGATCCAGCCATGCCTAACGCTACAGCTTCTTCAAACCTGCTGAGGACCAGGCACCGTGGCACTGCCTTTTGGTGTATGCCCGTTTGAGCTGAGGCCCTGTCACATGTGACCACAAAAGAATCCTGACCAAGACCAGGGACTTCATGAATTCCTTGAGACAGTGTGAGAATTTTGAGTAAATATGCACAGGTATTTTTCCCCCAGAGAGGATCAGCTCTCTTACTGGCCATTCTAATCCAGTGCCCACATTTCACAGACAAGAAAACCAAGACCCAGGTCAAGAGAGTAACTTGCCTCAGTCACACAGCAATTGGTGTTGGAGGAGGAGATGAAGAGGACGTGAGGCTGGTTGACCCACGAGCAGGACTGGGCCATCGGAGGCTTCTCCCCCCTCCCCCGTCCTTGGAATGTGCACCCACTTGCCTTCCTTGCACTAGAAGCTACCCAAGGACCAGCCTTGAGACAGCGAGGCGCTGCTGAGACCACCGGGATGGGATATGTGACTCAACCCCATGAAGGGTCTACATAATTTTAAGCATCCTACTGGGTGGGTGCAGAGATCTACTCACCTTATGGCCCAAGACAGGCCTTGTGAGTTCCCCCGCTTCTCCAACCTGCCACCCACCAATCTGGAGTGGCCTGGCTTTCTTTTTTTCTTTTCTTATAAATGTTTTTATTGATTTCAGAGAGGAAGGGACAGGGAGACAGAGATAGAAACATCAATGATGAGAGAAAATCATTGATCAGAGGCCTCCTGCACACCCCCTAATGGGGATGTAGCATGCAACCCGGACATGTGACCTGACTGGGAATCGAACCCTGACCTCCTGGTTCACAGGTCGACACTCAACCATTGAGCCACGCTGGCCTGGTGGAGTGGCCTGACTTTCTACGGTTTCTCCTATGCTGTGTGTATGGGGCCATTTTGCATGCCAACAGTTGGTGACAGAACCCAGCTCTGCTGAGTATTCCAGACCCTGTGCCTCCATCATCACCAGGAACCCTCCTCTGGCCACTCAGCATCGCCAGGTGGCTGCTAACATCGCCAGGTGCAGGCTCTCCCCTGGACCACGTCAGCTGGCAGGACTAGGGGTGAGAAGTCCAGCATCAATACTTTGAAAAGACCTCTGGAAGATTCCAATGTGCAATTAAGACAAGTACCCCAGCCATACAACATGAAAACAATGGCGAAGAAGCACGCACAACCCAACTTATCCAACATTTTTTAGTGAACCCTAAATAAAGTTACTAACATAAAATTGAGTATTTTACTCTGCCCAGGCACTGTGCTGAGGTGCTGAGGTGCAAAACTGAACAAAGACCCAGGACCTGCCCTGAAACACACTTCATGTCTTGCATAAAAGTAAGGACCATCCACACACAAAAAAGGGCTACTTTCAATCCGCAGAAGAACAGAATTCTTGGCAGCCCTGCCTTCAAATTCTCAGCCACCTGGCTCTGTCTTGCTCTCTTGAATTAAGTAAACAGCTCCTTCACAGTGCTTGCATCTATTTGAAACAGTCCACCTAGGGAATGTATGGCATTTGAGGATATTTATAAAACTTCTCATTGAGGGTGGAGTTTTTGTGCGATCCAAGTTAAATTGTTGCAGCATACATCAGACTGCTGTATCAATAAGATGCTTTATTCGAGCCTCATGGTAACCACAAAGCAAAACCCTCCAGTAGACTCACAGAAGGTAACAGTAAGGGGAAGGGAACCAAAGCTACACTACGGAAGATCATCAATGCATGAAGGAAAGCAGCAGGAGAGGGAGAGCAGGGGAGTCCTAAAGAGCTAGAAATCAATTCATCAGATGGCATCAGTAAGCCCTTTCCCTAGCAATCATTACTCTAAATGCAAATAAATTGAATTCTCCAATCAAACGACAAAGAGTGGCTGGATGGATTAAGAACAAGACCCAACTCTATGCTACCTACAGGAGACTCACTTCAGCTTTAAGAACACACAGAGGCTCAAAACGAAGGAATGGAGAGAGATAATGAACGAAGTGAAAATCAGAAGAGAGCAGGGGTAGCTATATTTATGGATAGAATCTAACAAGTACACACAGATTATACTCATTTGTTTGTTATAGCAAAACAATTAAAAATAAAGACAAGTAGAGAAGAAACAGAGTAAAGAAATTAAGTATCCATCTCTAAAGGCCTGCTTAAGTGAATTATGGTACAGCCATATGGCATATTATAAACCTATTAAAATTAAGAAGTTAAATCTGTACATAATTCAATGCCAATAACTCACTCATTTACAAAAACGATTTATTGTGTGTCTGTCACGTGCCAAATCCTGTTCTCGGCACTGGGGAGCAGCAGAAAATGAGACATGGAGGGTCTCTCTTCTCAAAGAGGAAGAGGGGTGGGAGACAACGAATACACAAGCCAATCTCAGGAAGAGATGAATGCTGGGTGAAGATGTGCTGAAGGGAGCTGGGAGAGGGGCCGCCTCTGATGGGTGTCCATGGACGTCCCCTCCGAGGAAGCCATGCTTGAGCTGAGACCTCAGTGACGAGAAAGAGCCAACCCTTTCTCGAAGAACATGAAGATGTAGAGGAGGAACACTCTAGGGAAAGGAGACAGTGAGGGCAAAGGCCTTAGGTGGGAATATGCTTGGCTTGTTCGAGGGAAGTGTGGCTGCAGCAGAGTAAGTGAAGGAAACGTGGAATGAGACGAGGTTGGAGAAATGCTGGAGACCCATGCTTCTTCTGTTCTACCTCTTACACCCGTGTCCTCAGCTTCTCTACTTGCAACATGGAGTTACTGGTCACTGACAGCTTTTATCGCCTAGGGCAGTGACGGCGAACCTTTTGAGCTCGGCGTGTCAGCATTTTGAAAAACCCTAACTTAACTCTGGTGCCGTGTCACATATAGAAATTTTTTGATATTTGCAACCATAGTAAAACAAAAGACTTATATTTTTGATGTTTATTTTATATATTTAAATGCCATTTAACAAAGAAAAATCAACCAAAAAAATGAGTTTGCGTGTCACCTTTGACACGCGTGTCATAGGTTCGCCATCACTGGCCTAGGATCTCTGCATGAAATCTGTGCAACAGGCTGGACAGGCCTATCACTCCCCCCTGAGGAAGCTGAGACTCGAAATGTTTGTTGACTTAGCCCGAAAGCACACAGTTTGTAGTCACCAGAATCAGGACTCAAATTCGTGTCTCCTGGTTGTTACCATGATAACCTTGCCCAGCACTGTACCCTCTTCCCCTCTTGTGTATTTCAATAACAGCAGTAGCAGCAACCCTCAATTCTGAAGTGAGTCTTCATAACCTCCAAGACTTTGTAGAAGGGATTGAACCCCAGTGATATGGATAGATTGAGTGTTTCAGTCTTCAGCTTAAGGCCACAATGGGTTTTATTTTTAATATAAGTTATTGCTTACATATTGATCTCTCCTAACAAAACAGGGGAGGTCAAGGTGTCGGGACTGTCCATGGTACGAAACTTGGGTAGGCAGAGAACTTAGGGGTGGAGCATATGAGGGACACCAGCAGTGTCCACTCTACGTCCACAGTCACACGGCTTGTGGGCGGTGAGACCAGGATTTGAACTGGTAGTTCTCTAAGTCAAAGCGTGTGCTCTTTCCAAGAATCGGGACAGTGCATGGGAAGGACCAGCAGAGCACCTGACTCACAGTAACAGCTCAATTAACTGCAGCTGCTGTTATGGTATGTACACTGTGCTATTAAAAAGGTCTCTCCCTAGTCACTGGGTCTAATAGCCAAGATCCAAAGGATTCAGAAGTGCAGGCTGGGAGGATTCCAGAGGGTTCCCAAGCCATGAACCCTGCCCGCATCATTCACACAAAAGCTGGCGGTCCTGCTCCATTTCTCAGAACAGAATCTGCTGGGGACGGGGAGATTAATCAGGCTTCATTAATTCTGCAAAATAAACCATGGCGTGTTTGCCAGCGCACCCCGAGCATTATCATAAATCACCGAAATGAAATGAAAATCACTGAAAGCGCACCTGTCTGAGCAGAGGCGCGGCCTGCACTCCAGCGCCAGGAGCAGAAGGTCACGGCATCAGTGGCTTCCCAGTGGCTTCATGGCTTCCGGAGCCTTCCAGTGACCAGTGGGCCCAGCTGCACGGCGCTCCTGTTGGATCATTAACAGAGTCTCATTAACAGAGTCGTGAACATTAGCCCCTCAGTTCACTCCAATGCCTGCCTGAGGGCTTTTGGTAGATTAGAATTCATTCAAAAATATTTACTCCCTCCTGGGACGAGTACACTGTTTTCCTTGGTCTTGGTCACATGACTGCCCTGGGCCATGGCATAAAGCAGGCCCACTGCAAAGCAGGGGTTGAAATGGGCTTGCACAGTTGGGCATGCTCTGCCCTCAGCATGAGAAGACTATATGCTGACAAGTTCATGGGTCCAGGGACGATGGGAGACCCGTGCAGCAGACCTTGACCCAGCCAGCAGGTAGAGACGCCCAGTCCTGCCCAGCCTGAATCAGCTGGTCCCCAGCTGATGCACAGACAAAAGGACTAAAATAGGTGCCTATCTCTGGATCAGCAGCAGTAGTTGGCTGATCCAACGCTCGCCCTGCAAACATATGTACAATATCAGTGACACCAACTAAAAATGCATTAGAAGGATCCTGGGCTTTGAAGGAGTTCATTTGAGTCTTAGTTTAAGCATTTAGTTACTTTGGGGCCCTCATGAAAATGATTAAAATTCTCTGACACATGATTTCCTGAACTCTGAAATAAAAGTGATAATATTTACTTATAGGGGAATACTATGGACTGAATTGATCCCCCAAAAAAACAAGTCATTGAAGCCCTACCCCCCAGAAGGGAGGGCTTCCTGAGATGGAGCCTAGAAGGAGGAAATTAATGTTAAATAAGGTCATAAGGTTGGGGTCCTGATCACATCAGGGGGATACTATGGACTGAATTGATCCCCCCCAAAAACAAGTCATTGAAGCCCTACCCCTCAGTATGCCTGCATTTGGAGATGGAGCCTAGAAGGAGGAAATTGTTAAATAAGGTCATAAGGTTGGGGTCCTGATCACATAGGATTAGTGTTCTGACAAGAGACACCAAAGCATCTCTCTCTCCCCTCTTCCCTCCGGCCCCCAAGCTACCCTGTGAGGATAACATGAGAAGGTGACTGCCTACATTTGCTGATCTTGGACTTCACAGCCTCCAGAACAGAGAAATATATTTCTATTGTTTAAGCCACCCTGTCTATGGTGTCTGGTGATAGCGGCCTGAGCAGACTAGTACAGAGAAATTCAGAATGTTATATTAATTGCCTAGCACACAATGGGGCTGAGATTGCAAACTCTAGCCAGAGAGTTGGGCAAAAAGTAGGTCATTCCTACACTGAAAATAAGTAATGTTAGAAATGCATTTTCCTCTAATATGGTCCTAAAACCTAAAATGAGTTTGCGTGTCACCTTTGACACGCGTGTCATAGGTTCGCCATCACTGGCCTAGGATCTCTGCATGAAATCTGTGCAACAGGCTGGACAGGCCTATCACTCCCCCCTGAGGAAGCTGAGACTCAAAATGTTTGTTGACTTAGCCCAAAAGCACACAGTTTGTAGTCACCAGAGTCAGGACTCAAATTCGTGTCTCCTGGTTGTTACCATGCTAACCTTGCCCAGCACTGTACCCTCTTCCCCTCTTGTGTATTTCAATAACAGCAGTAGCAGCAACCCTCAATTCTGAAGTGAGTCTTCATAACCTCCAAGACTTTGTAGAAGGGATTGAACCCCAGTGATATGGATAGATTGAGTGTTTCAGTCTTCAGCTTAAGGCCACAATGGGTTTTATTTTTAATATAAGTTATTGCTTACATATTGATCTCTCCTAACAAAACAGGGGAGGTCAAGGTGTCGGGACTGTCCATGGTACGAAACTTGGGTAGGCAGAGAACTTAGGGGTGGAGCATATGAGGGACACCAGCAGTGTCCACTACTCTACGTCAGTCACACGGCTTGTGGGCGGTGAGACCAGGATTTGAACTGGTAGTTCTCTAAGTCAAAGCGTGTGCTCTTTCCAAGAATAATCACAGTGCATGGGAAGGACCAGCAGAGCACCTGACTCACAGTAACAGCTCAATTAACTGCAGCTGCTGTTATGGTATGTACACTGTGCTATTAAAAAGGTCTCTCCCTAGTCACTGGGTCTAATAGCCAAGATCCAAAGGATTCAGAAGTGCAGGCTGGGAGGATTCCAGAGGGTTCCCAAGCCATGAACCCTGCCCGCATCATTCACACAAAAGCTGGCGGTCCTGCTCCATTTCTCAGAACAGAATCTGCTGGGGACGGGGAGATTAATCAGGCTTCATTAATTCTGCAAAATAAACCATGGCGTGTTTGCCAGCGCACCCCGAGCATTATCATAAATCACCGAAATGAAATGAAAATCACTGAAAGCGCACCTGTCTGAGCAGAGGCGCGGCCTGCACTCCAGCGCCAGGAGCAGAAGGTCACGGCATCAGTGGCTTCCCAGTGGCTTCATGGCTTCCGGAGCCTTCCAGTGACCAGTGGGCCCAGCTGCACGGCGCTCCTGTTGGATCATTAACAGAGTCTCATTAACAGAGTCGTGAACATTAGCCCCTCAGTTCCGAAGGGGCCCTAGTGCTGTGTGTGCATTTTTGCTCAGATTATGTAAAGACTAAGCCACCCTCCAAGGAGATGAGAAGTTTGAGAGGCAATGGTTTGTTTTTCAAGCCACCGCTTCTTCAAAAAGCCTGACTGGGCCTTAAAGACCCGGGAAGGATTAGTAACATGTCCAAGGTCACACAAGTCATTGACAGCAGATCTGGGACCAGAATTCGGGACTCCTGATCCTCAGTCTCGTACTCTTTCCACTCCAATGCCTCTGCCTGAGGGCTTTTGGTAGATTAGAATTCATTCAAAAATATTTACTCCCTCCTGGGACGAGTACACTGTTTTCCTTGGTCTTGGTCACATGACTGCCCTGGGCCATGGCATAAAGCAGGCCCACTGCAAAGCAGGGGTTGAAATGGGCTTGCACAGTTGGGCATGCTCTGCCCTCAGCATGAGAAGACTATATGCTGACAAGTTCATGGGTCCAGGGACGATGGGAGACCCGTGCAGCAGACCTTGACCCAGCCAGCAGGTAGAGGCGCCCAGTCCTGCCCAGCCTGAATCAGCTGGTCCCCAGCTGATGCACAGACAAAAGGACTAAAATAGGTGCCTATCTCTGGATCAGCAGCAGTAGTTGGCTGATCCAACGCTCACCCTGCAAACATATGTACAATATCAGTGACACCAACTAAAAATGCATTAGAAGGATCCTGGGCTTTGAAGGAGTTCATTTGAGTCTTAGTTTAAGCATTTAGTTACTTTGGGGCCCTCATGAAAATGATTAAAATTCTCTGACACATGATTTCCTGAACTCTGAAATAAAAGTGATAATATTTACTTATAGGGGAATACTATGGACTGAATTGATCCCCCAAAAAAACAAGTCATTGAAGCCCTACCCCCCAGAAGGGAGGGCTTCCTGAGATGGAGCCTAGAAGGAGGAAATTAATGTTAAATAAGGTCATAAGGTTGGGGTCCTGATCACATAGGATTAGTGTCACAGCCTCCAGAACTGAGAAATACATTTCTATTGTTTAAGCCACCCTGTCTATGGTGTCTGGTGATAGCGGCCTGAGCAGACTAGTACAGAGAAATTCAGAATGTTATATTAATTGCCTAGCACACAATGGGGCTGAGATTGCAAACCTCTAGCCAGAGAGTTGGGAAAAAAGTAGGTCATTCCTACACTGAAAATAAGTAATGTTAGAAATGCATTTTCCTCTAATATGGTCCTAAAACCTTGGTTTTTAGCTGGGCACAAGACACCCAGAAGAAAAACTACACCTCCCAGATTTCTTTGCAGCTAATTCGGTTTGACTATGTGACAAAGGTATGCCCAAGAAGATGGAAGGGCCATATACAACTCCTGGGACATGTCCTTAAAGAAAGAGAGGACATCCTTCCCCCACTTCCTCATTCTTACTGGCTGGAATGTGGACTTGAGGGCTGGCGCTCAAGCAACCACTTTGGAATAGGGACCCACACGCCATGTACAGCAGAAAGGAGGCAGAAGGAGCCTAGGTTCTGACATCATGGTACCAGGCCTGGACCACCTGCTTATGGACTTCCATAATGTAAGAGACAAACTACTAACGGGAGTGAGCCCCTGATTGAGGGCAGCCCTGCTCAGCACCACTTGGGAGCTTCTTAGAAATTCTAATTCAGTCCCCACGACAGACCTCCTGAACCAGAATCTCTGGGACCAAGGAATCTGTGTTCCCACAAGCCGCCCAGGGGATTCTTAGCTGGCCAACCCTGAAGAGGTACAGATGCAAAGATTTCCACCACACCCACCTCGCCCGGTGACTGACAGAATGCTCCGAAAGAGCAGGTTCTGTCCAGGACTTGGCAGATTATATAAAGCCAGGAAGGATGGCAAAGCCAATAACTGACAATGTCAAGATTTAAAATGGTTTTGACAGAGTGGAATACTGGACCAAAGCCAAGCAGATGGATGTAATGGGGATGTATAAAAAGCAAATCAAAATGTTCTTTTTTTATTGAAGGAAATATAAAATGTTCTACTCTTTGCCTTTCTTAAATTAAAAAGAAGAAATGTAAAATTACATATTTCAAAATACAGCAAATAAAGCTATCAATCAATGCCAATGGTGGCTAGTGAGAGGGACGAAGGAAAGAGAGAGGATCAGGAAAGAGGATGAAAGCAAAACCCAAAGTAACCAAGAGCTAGAGAGTCCAGGATGGAAAAGGAGAATGGAGGCCCCAGGCCAGGATCCATCTGTAGAGACTAAGATGACCTCTGCCACTGGAGGTCCTCAGGATAAGGAGTCAGATTACACTGAAGCCTACTCTGAGCCAGGCACTGTGTTATGTGTGTTATGCAAACGCATCTTTGTTTCTCAGATGCAAAGACTGAAGCGCAGAGAGGCTGAGTAAGTTACCCAAGGCCACACAGGCAACACAGGTGGAAGCAGGATATGAACCTGGGTGGCTAGAGTTCAGGGCTGTGACCCTCACCACCCTGTGCACTCTACCCTGAGGTGCTGCCCACTCTTGTGACAGATCAGCTTCTCCTGATGGAAAGCCTGGCATAAAAATAGGGAAATCCATTACCTCCTATTACTGTAAGTGCAGAGGTAGGGTGGGTCCTGGTGTACCAGGATTATCGGCTCAAAGGCGTGGTCACAGATACAAGTTCTGTTCATTCCCGGCTGCCAGGTCCTCAGCATCCAGCTTCATCCGAAGGCCGGCTCTGCTCCTAGTTCCACTGTGCTTCTTACCCACCCCCAGGAAGGGAGCGCAGCCTTCAGCCCAAACACGGAATGCCCTGGAATACAGAGTCTGTAACTCAGTGTTACTGTGCCGAACTGGGCACATGACCATTCCCAGACAACAGGGGTCCTTCCTCGGGAATGCAGCGAGCTAACTGTGAGAGACCAGTCAGGGCCGAACCCTGGAAGCGGGGATGGCATCACCAGACCAGGGCTGTGTGGTACCCAGGACAAACAGGCTCCACTATCAGTTGTGATTCTCTCCCTTTTTTCTTCTGAAGCAAATCAAGTTCCCTCATTTGTTTGAGTCCTAGCGAAATAATAAATACTGGGAAAACTCATAAAAGATTCCTTAGTACCTTGGGGATAAAACCATAAACGCCTCTTTCCTACTCTTCAGCAGCCTTCCTGACCTGCAGAGGCGTCCCAGGGGAAGACACCCTGCGGCAGCAACCCACAGGCTTCCCTTGACAGGTACAATGATCTTCTGTCAGGGGAGGCCAGCGTGTGCTGATGGGAGCAGGCGCCGGAGGAGGAGGCAGGTCCAGCATTTGTGGCACGTCTAGGTGCCTAGAATGATGTGTCCTACTTTATTACTTACCTATTTTAATCATTATGAGGAGACTAGAGGCCCAGTGCACGAATTCATGCATGGGTGGGGGCGATTGGGGCCAATTGGGTCGGCCAGCTGGTGAGAGGGACTGCAGGAGGTTGGCTAGCCACAGGAGGTTGGCTGTGGGAGCGCACTGACTACCAGGGGGCAGCTCCTGAGTTGAGCATCTGCACCCTAGTGGTCAGTGCACATCATAGCGACTGGTTGACTGGTTGGTTGGTCGTTCAGTCATTTTATATAGAGAGATAATAATATTAACCCCATTTTACAGATAACAGAGCCAAGGCCCAGCATTGCTGTGCAATTGGCTCAGGGTCATTCAGTTTGTCAAGGGGCAGAGGTGGGTTTCAAACTCAAGTCTATCTAATGCTTCCCCAGTTCTTTCCCCCGCACCACACCGACCTGATCCAGGATCATTATCATCATCGAACCTTTTGACTGCAATTTCCTGGCTACTTCTTACCTGCTCTCTGGCCCATGTTGATTGAGAGAACTACTTACTCTCAGCTTGTAACAGACTTTATGAAATTGTCTAAGTATTGAACACTTACTATGTGCCAAGAACGGTATGCATACAATTTGTTTATCCTGCCAATAACCCTGTGATACTGTTTATTATGCAGAATGCTTTGGTTGCTACTGACAGAATCCCACATAAACCATGAGTCAATGGCCACCTCCATGATTCCTTTCTGGTTATGACTCTGTCTAGACTTAACTGCAAGTATCTTGAATTTATCTGGCTTCAATGGGAAAACCACATTTGGAATCTTTTTTCCCTGGAGCCATTTTGTCCAATTTAAAAGATATAACTGTTGCCACCTTAATCAATCCAGAGGTTTTAAAAGAGGAATCACACCTTCTATTGGTCCTTGTCACAAGGCTGAATGTTAACCAGCCTTTGTCACTGAAAGATGTTTTCTCTTTTATTGTTTGCAAATCAGAATCAGTTACAGCCTCTAGCCCTGTGAGTTGTCAATTTTCTGGACATTTCTACTTTCTATCATCTCTCCAAAATGGACAGTGTTTTGCTTAACTCGATTTTCTCTAGTAGTGCTTCATTATGTATAGACCGTTGCATCTTGGGAATGTCACATACTGTTCATAGCCTCTTTGCCTAAAATCACAAGCTCATTCAGTACATATCTGTTTTCCCAGTGGCCACAGGTGACAGTTTTACCAAATGCATCACAACTCGATAACATGGGTTGCCTTTATCTATCCTTCAATAACATATTTTTTGCTTACTACTCCCAACCCAAGTTAATGCCCCATAATTTAGGTTTTCTGCTATGGCAACACCTCAATTACAGATCCCAACTGTTGTATCATCAGCCTCGCCTAATTGATGCTGGGGTAACAACAAACGAACCCCACATCTTTACAAAAGGCAAGATTGATTCCCTGCTGTGGCCATGGCCTTTGACAGGCTGTGATTAGCTTCACGTTCTCTTTATTCAGGGACTCGGATTGAAGTCCTATCCAGTATCTGAGACATGCCAGCTGGTGGCAAAAGGAAAAGAAAAACGGAGCCCGTGTGCCTCTGCTTAGAAATGGCACATGTACTCCTGGTCACGTGCCATTGACCAAGCAAGTCACATGGTCAAAGCCGACTTCAATACCCTTCTCTCCCAGGGAAGGGCAGCACAGAGACCCACATGAAGGCAGCAGATATTTTTGAGCAAACGAAACAATCTATGGAGCCGTACGCTGGTAAATGAATAAAAGCCCTGATTTGTAGCACTTGCCAATTTCCATGGTGTAAACACTCCCACAATAGCCAATTTCAAGCTACCAAGGAGATGTCACGGAATGCAGAGTCAGGAAGAGGTGTGTGTGGTCAGCTCTTGTAAGCCGGTGTGAGCAGGCTACAGCATAGCCCTAAGCCCACCTCATTTTAACTCAATCAGTTACTAAACATAAATTGAGCGATACCTGTTCAACAGTACGAATATGAAATTTTGCTGTGACTAGAGCGAGAGAGGTTTGACTCAGCATCAACCTGCCTTAAGCCTAAACTAGGATTTGCAGTCGGAGTGAGGAGGACTTAAGACAACCCAAAATTAAGTCTTCACATTATTTGCTATTCCTGTATTCATTGGCAAATTCAAGTGGAGAGTAAGAATGTGAGATTAAAATAAAAATCATCTTTGCCTCTATAAATAAGATTCAGCCCCAGGTTCCTCCTTTGCAGAAATTCTTATTAAGGACTTGGCTCCCCTCCCAGAAAAAATAAGGTAGAGATCATTTAAAACCCTTTAATTCCAAATTATTCCTGATGGGAGTTATTTGTGAGTATACCTACTTTTTAATGTTTACCATATTAACTTTTTTTCCCCCAGTAAAAATGTGCTTAAAATATCCATGATCTTGGAACTAGCTCTTACATACACAAGTTGCCTTTTTTTTCAAAGAGCACTCTTTGTGCACATTGACATCACCGCTGTAGTGACATTGAGCAGGTCGCTTACATGCCCTGAATTTGCTTTCTCATCTTGGAGATAATTCCTTATTCCTTGCTGCTCCTTCTAACCTTGCAAGGCCATTATGAGGCTTGACTACCTGGCATATACAGGGCACCTAGGAGAGTACCTTGCACACGGTGGTTACTCAGTAAATACTCCTTCCTATGTATTACCTTGGAAACTGATAAAGGACTCCCATGATTATCACTGAGGCTTGGAGCTGGAGGGTTTGTTCCTATCTAACATAGCGCGGGCTTCATTCATAGCCTCGGAGCATTTGGCAGGAGCAATTTGGCGGTTGATTGTAAGGACATCTGACAGGAGTGACTTTTGCAGCTCCCCTAGACGCATGGATTTTATCACAATCTAACCAACCTCACCTCTCTGGCTGTTACTGCATTGTGTCTCTTGGCCTCTAGCTTGGTTCAAATTGTCAGCCCAACAGAAAGACGGGATGGTTGGCCCCAGGGCACGCTCCTGGCCTCCAGGGGTGGACCCAGGCCCCATCCTGGGGAGAACAGAAAGCTCACCTAGCCATGCTGCAGTCCTTCATGCTGATTCTCACATAAAATATCAACAGGAAATTCCATCCCTACAGTCATTTTGGAGGAGCTGAGGGCCATTCGGACACAGACGCCTGGCCTAGTGCTGCATGCCACATTAAGGTCACAGGACAGACATCACAGAGAGATCATGATGACTCAGAAAAAACAGCCTACTACCTTCCTGGGGACCACTCGCTCCTCCCTCAGGCCCTGAAATGGTCAAGGTTACTATTTCTGACATCTTAGAGCGCTTTGACATAAAGCATAATGGTGAGGAAGATGTTGATATTGATCATGACAAGAGCAAAAATGAAGAAAGTGGCCTGAGGCTCTGCCCCCAGCTGTCCGGTAATGGGCATGGAGGTTTGTATGTGTGTGTGTGGCTCAGTGATCTGTATGTGTGTGTATTAGTTCCTCCTGGTGGCCTTTTTAAAACTAATTATCAGCTTCTGGAACTGTGTGACAGTGACTTACTATCTACACTAATAAAAGAGAAACATGGTAATTAGCGTACGACCACTACTCTTCCCATTGGCTAATCAGCATATCCTTATGCAAATTAACTGTCAGCCAAGATGGCGGCCGGCGGCCAGGCAGCTGGAAGCGAACATGAGGCTTGCTTGCTCCAGTGACTGCAGACTCCAACGTTCCCCACCTGACTTGCTGGCCTCTGAGCTGCAACTCTAAGAAACTTTGTGACAAATATAGAAGCTAAACAAAACTCCAGAAACCAGCTTTCAGCCGGCCGGGATCTCAGAGCTGGAGTTATACATTGTTTCGATTATAGAACGCAAACAAACCAGATACCTGCTTTCAGCAGCGGAAGCCTCAGAGCTAGAGCCAGAGCTAAAGCTGGCCCAGAATAAAAAAAATAAAAGAAAAAAAGGAGCGGTTGGGAGCTTCAGTCAACTGCCTGCCTGAAAGCAGCCCTCAGCTCCTCACCCAGACTGGCCAGGCACCCCAGTGGGGACCCCCACCCTGATCCAGGACACCCTGATCAGCCCTGCTCTGTGGGTGATAGAGGGCGGTTCCCCAACCCCGATCTGCCCTGCTCTGTGTGTGACAGGGGGCGGTGCCCTAACTCCCCTATCGGCCCTACTCTGTGAGCGACAGGGGGGAGCTCCCCAACCCCCTGATGGGCCCTGCTCTGTGCGTGACAGGGGGGAGCTCCGCAACCTCCCCATCGACCCTGCCTTGAGTGTGATAGGGGGCGGTGCCCCAACCCCCCAATCAACCCTACCCTGAGCGTGACTGAGGGTGGCATCGCAACCTCCCAATCCGCCCTGCTCTGTGCATGACAGGGGGCGGCGCCCCAACTCCCCAATCAGCCCTGCTCTGAGCCCGACCAGGGGCTGCACCTAGGGATTGGGCCTGCCCTCTGCCACCCAGGAGCAGGCCTAAGCCAGCAGGTCATTATCTCCCGAGGGGTCCCA